TTTTTTTTTTTTTTTTTTTTTTTTTTTTTTTTTTTTTTTTTTTTTTTTTTGTGAATTGGAATCTTACTCTGTCTCTCAGGCTTGAGTGCAGTGGCACACTCACAGCCACCATAGCCTCGGCCTCTTGGGCTCAGGTGATCCTTCTGCCTCAGCCTTCCAAGGAGCTGAAACTACAGGCATGCACCACCAAGCCCGGCTAATTTTTTGACTTATTGTAGAGACAAGGTCTTGCCAAGTTGCCTAAGCTAGCCTCGAACCTGTGAACTCATGCAGTCCTCATCTTGGCCTCCCAAAGTGCTGGAATTATAGGCGTGAGCCACCATGCCCTGCCCGTATTTTCTTGCTAGATAGTTTCTAAAATTCCATCTGAAAGCTAAAAGATAAAATAATTATGTTGATTTTAATGATACCAATATCACACAATTTGACATTAAGAAATACTGTACAAAATATTTGTTTTTCTCTGGGGTCGGTCCTTTTTATCTTCCTTTCCTTTCCTCCCTTTCCCTTTCCTTTCTTCCATCCCACAAATTTCACATCACAGTTTTTGTAGAAAGCGGGACCTTACATCCTTTTTGTGATAATAACCTTCAGAAGCCCATTCACCCTAAAATCTGTTCTTGTTTTAATCATCACCATGTATAAATTTTTTCACTTTGTCTTAATTAAACTGTCAGTCTTTATAAATTTGTGTTTATCTGAGTACAACTTCTAGACCTTTGTTAATCCTACTGTATACTACACCAGGAGGCACATGTTCATAGAATATGGTTATTTTAAAAGAATAGGTGGAGCCGGGCCCGGTGGCTCAGCCTGTAATCCTGCGCCTTTCGGAGGCTGAGGTGAGTGGATTGTCTGAGCCTGTGGGTTGGAGACCCGCCTGGGCAGCAAGACCTCATCTCTACAATAAATCAAAAGCTAGCCGGGCGTGGCAGCGTGCGCCTGTATTTCCAGCTACTTGGAAGGCTGAAGCGGAAGGATCGCTGGAGCCCAGCAGGTCCAGGCTGCCGTGGCCGGGAGCGGCCACTGCACTCCAGTCTGGGCGACAGAGTGAAACTCCAAATCAAAAAAATAAAAAAACAAAAATAAAAGAATAGGTGGGCCAGGTATGGTAACTCAAGCCTTTAATCCCAGCACTTTGGAAGGCCGAGGCGAGAGGATTGCCTAAGCTCAGGGGTTCGAGACCAGCCTGGGCAACTTGGTGCGATCTCATCTCTACAATAAAACAAAAAAATAAATAAGCCAGGCGTGGTAGCATGTGCCTGTAGTTCCAGCTACTTGGAAGACTGAGGCAGAAGGATCGCCTGAGCCCAGCAGGTCAAGGCTGCGGTGGCCGGGAGCGTGCTACTGCCTTCTAGCCTAGGTGACAGAGTGAGGCTCCAACTCAAAAAAGAAAAATTTACATTTATGTTCTCAGTTCCAGTAAAACTAGTCAATGATCCTTCAGCAAAGATTTAGTCAACACAAAAACTGAGTATGGGTCCACATATTACTTTTGCTCCTAGTTCACAATATGCACACATGAATGAACCACACTGTCTCAGCTAGTATTTCACTGACCCCATCATCTAGAGGTTTCCACCTGTGGTGCCACAGTTGTTTCTTACTGAGTTTGCGCTCCAGAATGACTGGCAACTTTTGAAATAATTCTGTTGAAGGGAAAGGTTTCTTTTTTTGTAATTTGCTGGAGGAAAAGAAGCATGTCAAATGTTTTTAAGCCACTAAAAATCTAAGATTACAGCCAGGCTCAGTGGCTCAGCCTATAATCCCGTGCCTTTGGAAGCTGAGGTGAGTGGATTGCCTGAACCCGCGGGTTCGAGACCTGCTTGGGCAACTTGGTGAGACCTCATCTCCACAATAAATCAAAAATTAGCTGTGGTAGCGCGCACCTGTAGTTCCAGCTACTTGGAAGGCGGAGGTGGAAGGATCGCCGGCGCCCAGCAGGCAAGGCTGAGGTGGCCGGGAGCGGCCACTGCACTCCAGTCTGGGCAACAGAGTGAGACTCCAACTCAAAAAAAAAAAATCTAAGATTAAACAGATCAGGACACGATAATGGTTGGCTCTTAGTATATGCATCAAAATTCTTATTGATAGATGTTGAATAAGCACAAAACAAAGATTTCAAAGGGAAACCAATTCTAAAATGGCAATAGATGTACATTCCAATGTTACTATCAATTTTATGTGACACTCGTGTTTAAAAACAACCTAATTGTGCATTGCCCTGTGAAAATAAAAGGATAAAATAAGATTTTGTACAGACTAAGAATACAGTTGTGTTGTATTTTTATGGATTCATCAAGGAGTAAAGTGTTTTAGTAAATTATACAGGTAAGTGTTATTCCTTTAAATGGCAAAATAATTTATTATCACGTTTGGTGGAAAATTTATTACATGCCTGGGGTTAGCCAACTAGATACACTGAATATAAAAAACATGTAAATTAAGCCGGGCTCCATGGCTCAGCCTGTAATCCCGCGCCTTTGGGAGGCTGAGGTGAGTGGATTGCCTGAGCCCGCGGGTTCGAGACCCGCCTGGGCAGTGAGACCTCATCTCTACAATAAATAAAAAAAATCAGCCGGGCGTGGTGGCGCATGCCTGTAATTCCAACTACTCGGAAGGCTGAGGCGGAAGGATCGCCGGAGCCCAGCAAGTCGAGGCCACGGTGGCCAGGAGCAGCCACTGCACTCCAGTCTGGGCAACCCAGTGAGACTCCAACTCAAAAAAAAAAAAAAAAAAACA